AATAATAATAACTAAAATTAATAGTAATAGTAATAATAATAATAATAATAATAATAATAATAATAATAATAATAATAATAATAATATTATTATTATTATTATTATTATTATTATTATTATTATTATTATTATCTCCCCTATTCTCCCTTTGAGCGACAGAGAGAGTCGACAACCTTTCCTTAGTCTTTCTCTCCCCCCTCTCTCTCTCCCCTTTTCTTTTTCTTCTCCTTTGTTTTTGTTCTTCTATAACCACTGAACCACGAACAAGACACTATTCAACTTCCTCCCCAAAAGAGAACCAGTGACGGTTGAACGTCTCTCTTTCGGTTCTTCAATAGCCGAACGACGGTGGTGACTAGATCGAGCTACGAACTCTGTTTCAGAGATCTAAGATTGAGCTACGAGCTATGTTTCAAAGATCTAACTTCAAAACATAGAGGAAAGAAGCCAAACAACAGATCCATCGGCCATGGTTCCTCATCCCCGATTGTCGCCGATGGACTTGCAATTGGTGCGCCACTGCTGCTAGGGTTTGAGGATCGAATGAGTGGAGAAGGGGGAGGTATAACCTCGCAGGAGTATTTTGGAGAAGTACTTCTTCAAGAAGTACTTAAAAAAAGCCAACTTGAAGTCACTTTTTAAAAAAAAATACTTTTTCCCACTTTTTTACTAAACACCCATAAGTACTTAAAAACCACTTAATGTGTGGTCCCATGTCTTAAAAAAGTACTTATTAAAAGTGTTCTCAAATAGGGCCTTAAGCCAATATATTATCAATGCCATTTTATTTAATGGTAGGCTTGTTCATGCTTTTATTTACAATCACTCTTCAAATTTGAATTGGTTTAATACTTTTGTCTATGCCCCTCCCATCAAGCGAGAACATATGCTTGTTTGGAATTGGATTAAAGGAATTGTGGATACTATAGACAGAGCATGTTGCCTCATTGGTGATTTAAGGCCCCGTTCATTTTTCAGTAAGTTACTTATCCGAGTAAATGCACTTACCTAGGTAAGTGTTTCCCAGGAAAGACTTACCTGAGTAAGTACATATACCCATGTTATTTTATTTCCCATGTAAATAAGGCAATGACCCTTTTAGTCATAAAAGCCCATTATTACAAGGGGCATTTTTGTCCCATTCAAGTGTTGGCAACTTCCCCCCAAGGTGGGGAAGTTATTTACCCCCCAAGGTGAGTAAGTGATACCCAAGAAAATAAACTTTCCTTGGTCCCCACATAAATTTGACAAAAGAACATGGGATTTTTGGTCAATGGGAAGCAAAATCCCATTGACCAACTTTCTCCCCTCTCAAATCTTGAGAAAGAACGCCCCCTAAGTTCATTTAAAAATAGATCTAATAAAAGTGAGGGGATGAATGTGATGCATAGTCAATCACGTGAATTTTAATAGTTTAATAAATGATAATTGGAGATAGGAATTTCCTAATGGTTACCTCATTAATATTCCCTTTCTTGCATCTGATCACACGCCTCTTC